AATTTAGCCACCCTGGTAAAATAGTGGAAAGTAATCGCCAGAATCATAAAATGTAGTCCAGATAAAAGTGGGCAATTTCATTCCAGAAGAAGTGAATAATAAGGGATAAATATGACATGAGTTAACTTTTTTCCTTCTTTTTTTTTTTTAAACCACAAAATAAGTGCTTTGCAAGACCCTGTTTCTGCATTCATGATGTTAGATTACCATCTAGAGGACATTTTAAAGCACAGCCTATTATTTGACTGGTTCTAATTTATTTCTCTCCACTGAGACAAAAACATAAAACAGCAGAAAATACACAAAACTGATTAAAAGACAAAGGGAAATGCATAACCACCTTCATTTCCACTCATCCCTCTCCACTGGCATCAGACTCATAAAATACTCTTTTCCAGTTTCAGAGTTATGCCAGGCACCGTTTTTAAGGAATTGCCACATTCAGGATGAAGAATGATTTTGCACATCAGAGTCTCCCGATGCTATGATCCTATCATATCTAGGTCTCTCTTTTAACTTTGAAAAAAAGAGCATACTTAGGATCTTTTTAGCTAGTTGTAAGGCAAAGTCCGTAGTGTTTCTGCCTAACAGAGAACGAAATCTTTGTATGTCAGAGGGCCCAGTGATGTCACAATGTCCCATGAGGAAGACTGTGGTCCTTGAGAAATCCTGGCTCCATTAGCTCAAAGGGCTGAGGAGCGAACATGTCTTGTGCTGGACATTAAGATTGGGTGAGGGCTAATCCAACCTGGATGCTTTCATCGGGATTTATAATCTATCTGATGGCCGTGTTCCTGCCTGCATACTGCCTAGACTACACTGATGCCTTCCTAGAACTGAAAAAGCAGAGAAACAATCCCTCAGCAGGTGAGAGGAGGAAATGGAGTGAGTGGGTCAGAAAGAGGGGAGAAAATAAAGACAGCAAATGACATAGGGTAGAGATAGCGTAGAGAAATTGAAGCTGGAGATGAAGGGTGGATATAGAAAATGGGTTTTGCAAAGGAAAAAAAAAAAAGAGGCATTAGAAGAAACATATTAGAAAGCCGCAATGGCTGGCTGCTTCCTAATGAAAGGGAAGCTAGTAGCCATGCATGATAAAAACGCCTACAGGGCAAAGGACTAACCAGTCAGGGCCCAGGCCCTGAGCAAGGCAAGCAGGACAAACCTATCGATAGTAGTCGGAGTCAGGCAAAAGTTCATCAGGCAATTGGAATTGATGATGGGGTAGATCCTCATTCTGGAGGTTTAAGAATTCAAACAGCCCACAAGGACCTTGAAAGCCTTGTGGGCTTGAGGGGAAAGGTCCATGCCATTCATGTAGAGCTTTGGAGGCTGGATGGGCTTCAACAGGGTCCAAGTTCACCTTGGGGAGCACTGGACATCAGTCAGTCTTGTGAAGAGTCCAAGCTAGCCCTTTTGAGCAGCCCTGGGAAGGGGGGTAGAGATCTGCACTGTGCAGTGATGAGGACACAGGGCCAGGCTCATTCCTCAGATGGTGTTGCAGGGACAAGGCCCTACTCAGTTGGTGACTCCATGGAATTCGGGTTGGGGCTCAAGAAAGACCAAGCTAACTTTTAGGTAGCAGCAAGTTCCAGCTGTTTCCTGAAGAATGGAGGCTAGAAACAAAGCCGCTATTCAGCAAGGTCTACAGGACAGGGGCCTAACCAAACAGGATTCATTCCTCACAGTGCCTGAACAAAACGAGCAGGGCAGTCCTAAAGATGGTAGTCAGGGTCAGTCAAGAATCCAGAACATCAGGATCATTATGATGCAAGTCCAATGTCAAGCTGGGAATGAAGGTCAGCAAGTCAGGGTCAGAACCAAGTCTGTTGACAAGTAAGCAAGGTCAGGGACTGCTACGTAATTCCATAATGATGACAGAGGTCCAAAGTCAAGCCAGGAAGACAGCCCATAGATCAGGGTCTAGATCAAAAAGCACCATGGCCAGGATAATCTGTGATGGTGATAGATCAGGAAATTGAAATAGATACACTTACAAATATCTCAGACAGTGATTGAAGATAGAGGCCTGACCTTAACGAACAGGAAGAGAATGGGGGTGGAGGCTCTTGATGAATCTGGATAGAGCCATTAAGGCTCTAGTACACTCAAGGCCCTGAGAAGATCAAAGAATCTGTGACTATTGCTATAGTGCAGGAAGGCAAGGCAAGAAGATGTAAAGGAGACTGAGAAGCAAGTGAGAAAAGTTAAAAAGAGAGAGATACTACAGAAGCTTCCTTAGAGCCAAGAATCATTTAGATGGTGCCCTTTCCATTGGGGCCTGTTACTTGTCTTTTGCTCGCAATTAATTTCTCATTCTTTTCTGGGAGAGCGTCCTATCAGCCACTGCAAATGCATTCTTTACCATGCTGCTTCTATGAGTACAACTCATGGAATGCAGTCTAATAGTAAAGTTCTCTGCCCCGAAACTTGAAGCTGATCGAAGTAGTGACAGAAGGAAGTGGGCACTTTCCACTGAGAAAATAGGAAAGAGAAGATCAATAGATGAAAGATAGCCACTTTAAGCAAGACAATGAGAAAGATTATATTAATAGAAGGAAAAAGGAGGAGAACAAGTGTTGAAGAACACGACCCAGATTCCAGTCCCTGTTCTTCCAAAGTCTTGCTTCCCTGTAGCTCACTACATGTTAAATAGTAGTGATGATGATCTCCCCTTCCTGGATCAGTGATTTATTACACTGCACCAACAGCAGGCACTTACTAGGACAAAAAGAGAGAGGTTTACACCAGGTTTGCAAACTCATATCCACACACATCAAAGAACCACACTTGGGAATTCTGAGAACGCTATGGGGGAATAAGCATAGAGGGATAGGCATTGAATGAGGAAGGACAGATGCAAGAAAAGGACAAAGAAGGCAGGCAGAAATTGGGGAGTGTCGAGAATGGACACACAGGGTAAAAAGGAATTGAAAATTTATAAAGCAGAGAGAAAAAAAAAAGGAAAGTATTAGAGACCAAAAGGATGAAAAGAAAGCATATGTTGTACCACTCGCCTCCATCCTGAGTTACAGATTGGGAAGAAATGGAAGAAACTTTTGTGGCCTCATCAACAGGGGAAGGCATGGAGATGCTTGACATGGTGCAGGATGAGGACTCTGAAAGGCTGAGGAATTCAGCAGTGAAGGATATGCTGTCAGATCTGGCCCTCTCTCTCAACGTTGGAAGCACTTTGCTGTTCTTTCTATGTGTGACACAGAGCCTGAATTAATTGCTATCAGAACAGATGAAGACAATTTGAACATCTACTTGCATTTCATAATCACTTACTAGTCAACACAACTTCTCTTCGACCATCCACATCTCCCAGGGAACCTCTAACTTCGAGGACATGAGCAGGAACTTTGTGCACATATTCAAAGTTGCTCTTACCCCTCCATTTTTGAGAAAAACAATAAACCTTCAATCCAAGGCTCATGCATTTTTTTTTCTACAGCAAGCCTCCCTTTTTGTACTTCACTCACTCTTTGTGTAAAACTATCTTCAGTAAAAATCAAGAATGGATTCAGCTCACCCAATCTCAAAGGCGATCCTGGTTTTGAAGAAGCAAATTCTTAAACTTGTCATACATTGTAAGAGCAGGAAAAAAAAAGAGTATTTCCCCAAGAAATGTTTCCTCTTCCTTTTAACAACATACAATAAAAGTTAAAAACTCATCAAAACGAAGACTGTAAACAGCTTTTGCTTTCTATATACATTACAAAGTGGTCTTTATACAATGAAGTAACTCAAAAGTAGGGTGAATAATATTACAGATGATTAATTATAGCATTTGAATGACTGACTGAAATTATAAACATGTTTCTGGGAAAAAATGACGAAAAGAGTGGAGGACGTGTATACATTGTTTAAAAGTGACCCTTAAAGAAAAGCACAAGCCTAAATTTGTTATTTTTATGATGGCTGAATAAATCACATTATTTTGAGGTATTATTATTTATTATCTGTGTTGGAATATCAGCTAAGAATTCCAGTTAAGATAGGCACAGTACAAATACAAAACAAAGAAACAAACCTGACCATAAAGAATTTATAATCAAAGTCCTACTGTTCTTTTTTTCTGAAGCCAATAGTTTTATATTAATATTTTAGTCTTTAATGAAAATAAAAACACTGATGAGCCTGTTCTTGGAAAATTTTCTGATGCATTGATCAATACTTGGTAAGAGTTAATAGAATTACTATGAATTTCAGTTTTCATAATTATGGCATATTACTTATATTAATCCCTAAAATTCTATTTTGATTAGATAGTAAAAACCTACAACACATGAACTCCCCTGTTTGGAGAGTAAGTATTTATAAATCTAGAATCTGAAGGGATGAGAGAATCTGGTTCAGGATTCAGAAAAGGTCTTGGAATTCTGAATGTTCAGGCTAAATAATCTTCAGAGATCCCTAGGACCCCTTCTATCTGTCCAATATTTCACCTTTACCTGTATCCTTGCCCTAAATCAGAGAATGTGAATGTGTTAATGAATGTGTTAATGTGTGAATGATTAGTGCCAGTGAACTTGGATAGAAGGGCACAGATGAGGTATACAGCTAAAATTCTGCTAAATATTATTCATGTTAGTTGATGAAATAGATATCAAGAAGAACCTTCATTATTATGTGACTCATCTAACAATTTAGAAGCTGGAGCTACTTAGTCTTTCCTATCCTAGTCTCCACTTACTGGCAGAAGATTATTTCTTCTTCTCTGGCAGTGTAAATGTGTGGTTTGCATAGTAATCTACAGAATCTCCCTAACAGCTGCTCTGATATGAACAGGTCTTAGGGTTACAACTTGTTGGCCTGCACCTTCAACATGCCTGTACAGCTGCTGGATTCCACAGCGAAACACACCAAACAGAGGAACAAATGTAACGGTACTTTCCTAGACTGTTTTAGCCCAAGATGACTGGTTATCTTACTACCTTGGGACTTGCTGGACTCCGGAGTTGACCCAGCTGGAACACAGAGCTGGCAACAGTAGGAAGAAACTCTATTCCCATATGAACTCAGGTTGGAATTTTTGAGACAATAAACTGCTGAGAGAAGTGCAAGTTGAGGCTGAGGAAAGGATAAAAAGGAAAGCAGATAAATGAATACGAGCACCATGTCTCTCCATAAGCCCAGATATGATGGCCATACTTTCACAGTTCAGGCCTTCATCTCTCTGGAGTCAAATTTCTCTTCCTCCTTTGCCATGCAGATTACCAGATGTGGCACTTCTTATCCGGGTTCATTGGTGATCTGCTGGGGCAGTGGAAGTGTTTGGCAAAGTCCTGACTATTGCTGACAGACCCATAGACACGAAGTGGCAAGGGGCTATGTGGATCTGTGTGTATGTAAGACTGCAGTTTCTCAGGATCCTGGTGTCCACACATTGCCTGAGAAGCAAAATAGAAAAGTCAGTTTGCATGAAAGCCCTCATGTGAACAAGTCCTAAGGGCCCCCTTTCTGTCTCTGCAGATTCTGCATGCCTGAGGCTGCTGAAGGTAGCAAGGAAACACACAAGGGGAGCAAATGGTATTCAGATCTTTTCCTTCACAACCACAATCTTCTACCGTCTTCCCCTTCTCTGTCTCACTCTCCCCTTCTGACAAGTCATGTGCTCTCTTTGTAAATTAGCTAGTCCAGAGCACAGAGAATGTTGAGCATCTCAGAGCTTGGACTCACGTAATCTTGCACTTCCCAATCTAATATGACAATAAAGATGTAGCCTCAGTATCTTTGGTTTCTCACATAAAAGCATTTAGTGCTCATTGAGAAAAAGACGTGTTTACACAACATAGTAGTATTATTAGGGAGGCGATGGTGAGGATATTGTATGATATTACTAGTGTTGTGGCTGAAAACCAGGTTGTCACTCTGGTAAGTAGAGTCTTCATTCAATGACAAAGGATGCAGTAGCTGCCACATAGCCTCTGAAATACAAGTCATGCCACAGAGATCCAACCATATGTGGTTTCAGGACTGGACTAGTTTTCTATTCACTGCTCTGACTGAAGGTCACTTACATGTGCAAAAGTTTTTCCTTCAGAGAATTACAGCAATTAATAAGGGAGTTACTTCTCTATGCATGGAAATCCAATGGTTTCTGATCAGCAACTCAACTACACAGCTTTGCACAAATCTTTAAACAAGAAGAGATTTCCTCAGAAATCACCATCAGTACATGATCATGTACTTCTAGTTCCTTATCTCTAAATGACATTCTAAATTTCTTTTTCACCATCATTCATTCTGAGTATGACATCTAGTCATTTATTATGACAGAGTGGTGGATGGAAGAAGACGACTGATTTGTGCTTTTCTAGTAAAATTCCACTTGCCATTTGTAAGATTGAACATGATGGCAAAAATAGTAATCAGAGGCTGGCTGTGATGCACACCTTCTCTGACACAACTTGTCTGCTGCAATTTAAGTTTGGCAGATACCAGAACATTGTTTAAGATATGTTCACAGACAAGACTTATATTAGCTTTGAGACTCATTACAGAACAGCGTCCCATATGTGAATTTTAGCTTTCTAAAAGAGATTCTGCATCTCTCAACATTATCATGCCCAGTTCTGCAAGGAAGATTAAAGGGACCTGAACATCAAGAAAGACAAACTATAACAACGTGGAGGACAATGGAGTGGGAGACAGATGCCTGACTAGTCTGGAATTCATTACATGAGCAAAACTGAGGTAAAAGAGTTGATCATGTGTAAGTCCAATTTTAGGTAAATCCTTCTCTTGTCTGTGCTTTTTCAGCCAGTTCTTATAGGCCTGTGGAGAAAGAAAAGTAATAATAATAGCCCAATCTTCAGACAGTTTCCCCAAAACATGTCTTTCATTTGTGAGATATATCAGTCTAATAAATATTCAATAAATCTAAAAATGGATGGTCAGAAGAAGGTACGTGGTAACTGCACTATTAAAGAATGAAAATTACTTTTAATACAAGTCACCTATATGAATAAAATGTTGTTCATGTTGTTGCCACCAATAAACCTTTGTTTAGTTTGTAAACGCATGTGAACTACCTCAACATTCTTAGTGAAAAAAGTACCATCCGAGACCTAGATATCTCAGAGCACACTGAGCCAAACAATTAATTAAACTTTCAAAATCCTTGCATGAAGAAAGCAAAGATCCTTCTAGACAGAAGTTAATGCTGAAAGGAATATTATGGCGTTGTTTTAACACCCTCACAGAACCACAGAGAATTCTGGTTCTTGGGGTAACTTAAATTAACTAACTCAAATGCCTCAGCTTAGTTCAGTAGGAATGATATGTGTGACATAATAATTATCTACTTTTGTATGCATGAGAAAATTTGGCCCACCCTGGAATAGATGAAGGGGAGGAGTGGCCTTATGTGGTAGTAGTGAGGAGTGACTGAAAAAGTTGAAGACGTGCACAGCACACACTGCACTGGCAGAGAAGTACAAAGAGCCTAGGATGGGGCAGCATGTAGGACAGGGATGCGCTGAAAATCTTACAGCATATTGGTTGAGTTGTGTGGTGAGACTGTAAGATTAGGGAAGTAGGTAGATTGCAATACCTGGTAAGCAACAGCAAGTCCTCCGTTGTCAGCTGTATTCTCCAAAAGAGTAAAAGTCCCATTGGTCTTAAACCCGAACATAGAGTAACTTTCATACTGTTTTACCAAGCAATCTATAGCTTGCTGTAGTGCACTCCTGTTGCAGGTAAGACAGCCCCCAGGTAGCACTGCAGGTGAAAAAAGAGTCCTAGAAAGTTAAGTTATTTCTGCTGTTCACTTACAGGCCCCACACTAATCATTGAGATTCTCTTAGTAATCTACATGATGTGGAATGGGTTTTCCTTAGCTTCACATGCCTTAATAATATACATTGACCATAGGGACCAGGATTTAAATTGCTTGTGGGAAAAGTACCACTGGGGGCGTAGAAGAGTAAACAAAGAAGATAAGCTTGACAAACAGCCAGTACTCACCATAATTATAGAATGCATGAAGAAGCTCATGTGCCATGAACACCCCCATGGCTCCAAAGTTCACAGCACTGGAAAATAAATAGGAAAAAAAAAGGCTTTTGAAAAGAAAAGGACATGAGTGTTCTTTGTCTTTAGCCACTGTGTACAACTGTGTGCTGAGTAGGAGCATTCAACTCTGAAAGAACACAGACAGACTTTCTATTAATTGCCTCCCAGATATAGCACACTGTAAAATCCAAATAAAAGTATAAATTACTCTACTAATACTTAAAATTGTCCCATGGGTTTGAGTTAAATTTATTCCCATCCATAATAATAATGAAGAGTCTGCTGAGAAACAGTGAGAGTCTTTCTGAAACACCGATTCTAATGAAAATGTATTGTTGAGATATGTCCCTAGTTACTCAAAAATTACACTAAGGTTTGACTACAAATACTCTGATTGTACCTTGTGAATGGTCCCACTACAGGCAGTGGAACCTGACCTCCAGAGGTCATCTATGATTCTATGCCATGAATTTACAGATATTCTCATGAATAAGAGTCCACTCGAAGCTTATTTCCATAATATGAAATGATAAGCTCATTTCTTCTTCACTGATTAAAACTGTGAAAAGCATTAAGTGAATGTAGAAGATCATTATTATATACTAAGAAGTCAATAAAGCACTGACAAAAACAGAACAGCTCATCTTCTATAACAGCTGCTTTTTCAGAAGCTCTGTAGCTTATAAAAATAGTGTTGCATTACTGATTTCTTATTTTTAAAAATATCCTCAGAGCAATCTGAATTGAAGAGCTCTTTTTGGCAGTAAATTTTAAATTTGGAGGATAATAACATGCTAGCGTGCATGTTGTCCCCCCAAAAGCTGATAAAATTTGACTTTTGAGTCTACTGAACTGGAAGGACAGTGAGAAAAATCTATTTTGTTAAAACTGAATGTAAAAGTAGCAAGAATCTCCAGACACTTTGTCAGACATAAAGAATATGGTGAGAACCCGTATCACTTTTTTTTTTTTTTGGCTATTATTCTTTCACTGTGTCTTATTCTTGATATGATAATGACTTTCTGACACACTTCAAGTAGTAGAGGATATTGTACAACTAGTGGTAGAAAATCAGAAAAAGAAGAACTATTTTAACTGAGACATCTGTTTCTTTCAAAATTAAGCCTCTCCGACAGTGTGAATTTATCTCTGGAATAAAATGGGATTTTGACAAGTCTTTATCCATTATCATTTAAGAAGAAAGGATAAACAAGACTTTTATGGACAACTACTGTGACTTTAATATCAGAAAAATTATTGCTACGCAGATCTGTTCAATACGATGAAAGAATGCAATTACAAGAACTGCAGAAGAATCATAGCTACAAGGCAAAAAGAATACGTCCTCTTATTACAGGAGGTTTCTTTAAAAAAAGAGAAGAACAGAATTATATTTGATCATTTGAAGAGACATCTGACAGGAAGTTACTCGGTGACTCTCCTGTTTTTTATAGGTTTCACAGGAATTCTCGAATCTAGAAAATAAGATGCAGAGGTGAGCTATCTTCTTTGTAGTTAACCTGCATGAGATTTCTGCCTTTTTGCCCTGGATTCATATTCAATGCCAAGAAATCTAGGAGTCTGATATCAGTTAGCGACAGATGAAAACAGACTCAGCTTAGTTTCTAGATTCTGATTTTTCTTCAGCGAAGTCAATGGTCAAACACTTCCAGAGATTATTGGTGCAGAACTACATTTTTTTTTAAAGCGGTAAAGACAAACCCATTATGATTCTTCCCAGAAACATGGTGCAGCAAAGGGAATTACGTTCAGTTTCCAACTTTGCAGTCTCTCCATACCTGGGAAATTCTGGATTGAAAAAAGGGCTGCGAAACATTCCAGCTGGGAAGACCACCATGTGCTGCCTTAGTGAGTAGTAGGAATGGACATGCCAAGGGGAAATCTTCCAGCTAGAAATGAGAGAACATATGAGAGAACATATTAACTCCTTACTTCATACCTTGCTCCTTTCCTTCACTGCATGTGCAAAAATGGTTTCCTTCATACCACCTATATGCAGCACAGGCAAAGGTTGAAGTTCCTATCATCCAGATAGGATCCAGAGTAAAAGATGTTTAGAGAAAACATGCACTTGTTTACATACAGTTACTGTAGTAGCTTAGTTTTCATGCACACTAATGGATTCCCCTTTCACAGCTTCCCTGTCCAGTAAGTCATAATTATTAGCCTCATAATATGCTGCATAGAGGCAGCCTTGGGCCCCAGGCATGCCTGCCTTCAAAAGCATCCTGTGTGCTGCTTTTGATATAATCACATTGTTATTCATGTCAACGCATTATTTTGCTGTCAGATAACAGCAAGCCCAGGACCATCTACTATTCCCTTTATTCAAGGTTTTATGATAAGGGGAGAAGAAAAGGTGATTTTTTTCCCCAGCGCCTGAAATGCTGGCACTTTTGGTAGCATGAGTTCACACTGAAGAGAGGCTGCCAGATTAATTTTTTTTGAATATGAGTCAGCAAGACATCTTTGCAGTGAAAAAGGCCAGTAGCACCCTGGGCTACATTAGGAGAACACTTGCCAGTGGGTCAGTGGAGCTAATTACACCCCTCTATTCAGCACTGGTGAAACCACATATGGCATACTGCAGTCATTTCTATCCCCCTTCACTCCCTGCACCCCACACTACTGGAAAGGGACATACAGGAAAGGGACAGAGTCCAGTGAAGGGCCACTAAATGACTAAGGGATCGATCATTTGCCATACAAACAGAGGCTGAGAAACCTAGGATTGCTTAGCCTTAAGGACATCCAGGGAGATCTTCTCAATGTGTATAAATACCTCATGGCAGGGTGTAAAAACAATGATTCCAGATTTCTCCCAGTGGTATCCAGGGAAAGCACAAGAGTCAATGGTCACAATTTGAAGTATAGGAAATTTAAACATAAGATAAAAATATTTTACTGTGAGAGTGGTCAAACACTAGAGCTGGTGCCCAGAGAGGCTGTGGAGTTTCCATCCTTGGAGATGTCCAAAATCTGGCTGAGCACAGTCCTCAGTAATCTCTTATAGTTGACCTCGCTTTGGATTGAACTAGATGATCTCCACAAATCCTGGCCAACCTCAACTAAACTGCAAGTCTGTGATTCTGTGGTTTTTTTTTCCAGTTCAGTGTCTAAAACTTACTTATCCTGTGAGTGATGCTGAAGGAGTCTCTGGTAGGAATTCTCCCTCAGTGTCTTCAAGCAAGCCACGATATTGAGGAGAAAAGTTTCTTGATTTACCTGCAACTAAGGGAAGAGACAGGCAAGGTGACAGCCATAGAGCATAGAATGAATTGGACAGCATGAGAAAGAGCAAAGTCCCAGAAGCAAATAAAGGGACTCATCAAAACACAAACCACTGAAATACTTTCTTTTTTCCTCTCCCACGATAAAGAACTTCAATATAAGTTTTGACATGAAAGACATCCACAGGCCAAACAGAAGAGATCACACATCCAAGCAATAATAAATCCCTCTCGGTCCTACCCTCTTGATAGAAGAAAGCATAAGCAACAAAGTAGAAGCAATAGCTACAGGTTCCCTAGACAGTCTGTTACAGAACAGTAAGATATGCTCCAGAAATTCTAGGCTCTTTCAGCAACAGGCAGTTGATACAGATAAACTGCCAGTAATGAGGCAGGCATGTTTACATTATATAGCTCACATTCTGGTATTCCAGGTTCACTTTGTCAGTTTGAAGTATGTGAGCTGGATAGCCAACTTCCACTTGTAGTCTGGAAATCTGAAAACGTATCAAACAAAAAAAATAAAGAAACATCACCAGGCTTTACATTCTGGAAGTTCTTTTTAAGCTGTATTTTGAATCATGCAAATATCGTCTACAAATCAATCCTTTAAAATGACAGCTACACTGTTTCAAGCAATACATCTCCACTTGTTGCTCTGCTTTCTGAACTCAGTGGCCTGAGGCCTAATGGAGCTCTACTCCTTTTTTAACAATGTTTTCTGTCGTTAGACTCTCAGAGCTTCATCGCTCTCTTTATGTGCAAATCTGCAGGTGCAATGTAGAAGAATCCATGGGCAAACACTGAGCCTTTCTGTATCTATGTATCAGGGAATGATCACATGTATATGACTGCTCTTACAAAACCACAAACAAGGAGATCTTCAAAACCCACTTGGACACAATCCTGTGCCACATGCTCTAGGTGACCCTGCGTGTGCAGGAGGGTTGGACTAGATGATCTCTTGAGGTCCCTTCCAACCTTGATGATTCTATGATTCTATGATTCTAAGTGCATTTAGACCTGTTTAATAGCATGTATTTGTAGAAGTGGCTAGGAATGTCTCTTTCATTCAGGCTCTTTCCATTACTCCTCTAAAGGCTTCAGGGAAAGGAAGGCCTTAGTAACTTACACCTTCTGCACGTACCAGAACTTTAGCTTCTACACGAGTCTTCTCATCCATCCACTCCACCTGATTGAGTCGGCTATACAGGGCATCTCTGATCTCAGAGAACATCTGCTCAGCCTGCCATGGAGGAAAAGAAAGCACTGTCAGGACTGCATAAAAAACTCTTTAGACTTTGCTTAGTCTTCTCACGTTCTGACAACTCAACCACAAAACAAATAGGGGTTCATGCCTCTTTCTCAGTAAGAGAGGAAATTCAGTTTTTATATCTCTTTAGTCTTAGGTTTCTTAGGTGTACTGTGATCCTTTGTTGGGCTCAGCATTCTCTCATACATCTTTTCCTCTTGCCTCTCACTATAGGAGGGAAGCATAACTGCTTTGTATTTAAATCTTATTGGAATGCCACCAGACCCAAAGTCCTCGACACTTCTTGTAAATTTGGGATTCACAGCTATTACAAATTGGGGGTCTCCTTTTCCGAAGTTATAGCAGTGTGAGACTCTCCTTCACAAAATTATACTTTCCTGATTCAGTTTTGTGCTTCAAACACAAAAAGTTTTGAGTTTCCTGCTATCTTTTCTTGGGGTTGTTGTTTTGTGTTACTTTATACACTGTAAACTCTTCATAAACCTCAGTGGCTACATTAGTTTTCCTTTAAAAAATGAAGCCTTAGCCTCAAAAGAAAAAAAAATGTGCAGCTCTCCTCAAAAAAGTAGGAAAAGTGTCTATGCACAAGACCATTAAACAGATAATCAATCTGCATATGACCTTGTTTCCTTGGTTTGAGGTTGACATGGCAAAGAAAGAAAGAGAGGAAGCTGAGATGTGCTTAGGGGAGAAGAGGATGAATACCTACAAGTTTCTTGTTCTGTTGAGGGAAAATTTCTTGAACAATCATCTGCCCTAGGACTGGTTCAAAAAAAAAGCTGGTTTCACTCAAGCACATCCGCCAGCGATCTTCTGGGATCTATAAGAATAGACAAAGAAATAGAGACACATGTGAGTGAGAAAGAATAGATTAAGATGAAAACAGTAGAAAGATATGTAGACAGATAAACAGTTGCATATCTGCTATTACTTAGAAATGAGAGACATAAATAATAAGTAATTACTTTAACTGATACTCTTAAACACCTCAGAAAACTTTGATGTGACACCCAAAAATAGAGAACTGATGGCTCTGTATCATGAGACAGGAAACAACATCTTCCTTGTTTGTATTTGTCTCAACTCCTAGATAAGTCCTAATCATTTATGAAAGTAAGCAGGGTAAACTGGTACTTTATTTTACATAAATAAAGTTTTTTTAACTTTAAAATTTTAACTTTAAAATTGCATATCATATCACTTTCAGAAACCGAAAGAATTTACTGGCATGGCAGGAGTGATTTTCCTCCCCAGATCTAACTCCATCCAGAAGACACATGAAGATAACATCCAGAAAGATTGTCCTAGCGCTGCTGTGGAGACTAAAGAAGTTGGTGGTAGGATAACTCACCATTCCAGATCCTATTTTTCCATGAAGAATCTTAGATAGCTCCAGGCGTGCATCTTGGAATCGACTGTCTAGGGCTGGGAAGAGGTTCCCAATCAGACAGACCATCATGTAGATGTGAAGGATCCTGTAGGAAAAGGGCACTTATAAAGATCAATATTAAAGGTCCGTTTAAGCCCATATTATTTAAACACTAATATCATTAATAACCTTGGGCTAAAACAACGAGAAGGAAACCCTTAATTCAGGAATCACAGTGAATTGGGAGGAACAGGCATGAGAAAACATATGGAAAAACGAGTAAGAGGCTGAGTGTAAACATGGGGCTTGGCAGCACATTTGTTTGAGCCCTGTATATGATCACTGCAGACTGTCCTATCTGCTCATTGAACTCCATTCCCATTTTCTGTGTGGTTGTGCTTTTTGTTCTGAACATATATGCAAACTTGAAGTTGGACCAGCCACTGAGAAGGATAAGAAGTTTGAGTACCCTCAGGTGGAGTCAGATTATGAAATTTGGAAGATTTTAAGTTCAAGTGCCTGCTCTGAGGAGACCAGGAGGCCTAACACCAGCAACTGGTTAGGCTGAACGTCAGAGATCAGCTACTGGGGTGATTTGTATTCTATTTATGTATCTATCTAGACAGATAGAGAGATAAGCATTTTGTCTCTGTCAATCTGTGTGGCCAGATGTTATATGTCTATATACAGGGTGTGCATGTGCAAGACTATTGGGAGTAGGCATTAAGCCTCATGATTGGCTGAACCTGAGGATATAGAGCCACATGTGCTTTGAATTCATTATACCAGCAATTTCAGGAACATCCTCCACAGACCTCTATAACTGAAGTTATTTTTTTCTGAGGTTTGAACAGCTACTACCATAGATATTAACTCCTACCTTTGCTTCTGCCATTGCTCAATAAGCCGTGACATGCCTTGCAAGTAATCCATGTCATGTACTGCAATTGGCTGAGAGAGATTCACTGGCACAGGATGGAAGGCTGCCTGCAGACACAGCAGCCAGTCGATTGCGGGTGCCTTTTCCTAAAAGTAAAGTAAAGCTTACATGGTGAACTACACACCCAGATTAACTGATAAAAATCAACAGGGAAATTTGGATATATTCCCTAATACCAGTAATGCATATTTTAAATCAGTTGAGCTGTGGCTATTGGATGGGAATTGGTTATAGTAGAAAAAGAGAGAAGACATACTTTTATCAAATTAGCATGGTGGGGCTGGAGTCCTGGAAAGCCCAACATGCTACCAATAAGAGACAGTAGGTTAATAGGTTATTGAGAGTTCAATAGATTCCACATATTAGCTGCAATGGCATCTAAACAAGGTATCTTATATTTCTTTTGATCTGGATCTTCCCGATATGAATACCTGTAGCTCCCTAATGGTGGTACGATAGAACAGCATTCCTCTCTGCTGTCTTTCCTGCAGTGGCGTGATAACTTGCTGGAGGTTAGAGATGAAGGACAAGGTAAGGGAAAAGAAGCCAGGGGGAACATCCTGTGGTTCTCCAAGCAGGTGCCCTAGTTTCTCCAAATATGAGAGATACACACGGAGAACCTACAATACAGAGCATTGGGAAAAACATGACTGAAATTAAGTCACTCTATGCATCCCATGCTGAGCCCAGCTGCTTTCTCAAGGAGAGCATTGCATTCCCGACAAATAATAAACTTATTTTTATCCTGCCTTACTATCACTTTAAATAACAGTACCATTTTAGAACAGCAGGCCCTAAAATAGAGAGAAAAATGTAGTAGATAGTGATACAAAGAGTCAGTATTCTGGATGGAGATGAAATGTCAGATTCTTACTTCTGTTTTCATGAGCTGTCAAGAAAATGTGTTGGGTGAGGAGGCTCATTATTTAAGGACTTGTCTGGAAGAGTCAGAGTCAGAAACTGAAATCAACTCATTTTTATGCATTTCAGAAAAAACGAGAGTGTTGTGATGAAATAAACCTTGCTGTAAAGACTTGCTCCCAAGGTCAAAGAGCTCAAGATTAAGACTTCTATAATTAACTTTAAAATGCTAGCTACCAATCCCCCAATACACACACATTTTAATTTGTATGTTATAATGCCTTTCTGTGGACAAGACGAAATCTAAGGAGAAGCCTAGATTCATATAACTTAAAAAACATATATTAAATGTATAGCAAGTTCTTTATGGATTAAAGCTCATCACCTAAGAAGAGGTTGCCTTTTACAAAATAAACTTTTAGTGAAGTAAACAATTTTGTACCAAATTCCTTCTGGAGACATTTACAGAGGTTCATACCCCTGTGTCCATACCCCATGGAAACAGGCCACTCTGAACCAGGAGGCAATTCAAGGAGATCCCTACACCAAGCTATTTTTACCTTGCTTCAGCCTCTGATATGTTACCTCAAGATAATTTTTTTTCTCTTTGAATTTACTCTCAGGTGGCATCTCAAACTCAGGATGGTCAATCTGCAAAAGGAGAGAAGGAAAATCATCCAACTTTCAAAAATTACTGGAAACACGAAAATAATACATTCAGCAGTCTGTGTTTATTTCTGTGTCACAGATTTTGAATTGTCAAGTGTTATAAATTGCTCATATCTGTTGCAATTGGTGTTCAAATGTAAGTCACGCTGTTAAATATTTCTATATGTACTCATAGCAGTAGCAAACTATGTCAATAGCACTATTGCATCTTTATTGCACTACTCATGCCCATTCCTGTAAGAACAGCAAATTCTTTCCATGACAAAATACAATCTACACAGGCTAGACAGAAGAGATGAGAGAAAGGACGTAACTTATTTATCATCCTCTCCTCCTTTTTCAGGAAGACTTTTTAAAAAAAATACTTTCAGGTAGTTAAAAATTAAGCCTTAGGGGAAATTTTTACAAAACTTAGCATGAGCAAGCCTGTATCCCTCCAATTGCCTAACCTATCCTTTATTCCCAGTGCTTCCTGATGGCCCTGTTTTCTAAGTCCACTCACCTGAATTATATTGGTGTTTGGGTCAAAAGGGCTAGGTCCTACATGGACACTGAAAAAGGGAAAGGTGTTGTATCTGCCCATGAGAGTCTGAAGTGTTTTGTTAAAATCTTTTGCTTTCCCAATGCCTGTGATATTCCAGACACCAACCTAGAGAGGGAGACAGGCAGCATGAGAGAAGGAGAAACATATTTGTTCAATCCTTATTTACTCCTGTGAACTCAGTCATTATGACAACTGTGAAAAAAATAAGGCAAAGAGCAAAAAGTGAAATGCACGAAGACTTCTACATACTCCGTTTGATTGTTGGCTTTATAATGACGTCGCTTTCACTTAAGCAAAGTCACAAACTACAGAATGACACAGGGATGGAAAGAGGTCATACTTTTATAAAGTCTTTGGGAATGACAAACAGAGATCAAAGATTAATGGTTCCACCTCCCTAACAGCAGATTCAAATGTGGGTTTGCAGTTGGTCATCCTTTTACTGAAAGGTTCTCCCACCATTCTTGGACACAGAGCATAAATTATCCTTGTTTATAGAAAGAGGGACGCACCTCCTGCTACTCAGCCTGGGAAGAGCAGCATTTTCTTCTTCAAGCAAGCCTTCCCAAAGCCTACAGTAGCAGATGGCTATCAAATCTTAAATACAAAATCTCAGCCATTTTGCATGATGTTCCCTGGCTTGTAAATTGTATAATACTGAATGGAGTGTCTGAGATTTAAAGTGTTACCCTTTCTGTAGTCTTGGTTGTTGAATGATTCTAAAGAACTATTTAAGGTCATTAGCATAAATCCAGGGACAAGGTGCCAGAAAGCCAGATTTGGGAGACAGCATTTAAAGAAAAAAACTGTATTACTTAGAAGTTGAGCTGTGAACCTTCAGCTTATTTAAGCACCATATGCTATCAAAATGCATAAGAAAAAAATATAGAAGACTATCTAGTCAGCACTTCACTTGTATCTTTTCCTTACAAGAATTAAATTCTGTAGAAAGAGATAATAACACAAACATTCACCTGACTTAGGAGGCCCTTCAACGGCTGAATTCCTTGGGATTCTATCAGTTGAATATCCATGCAGGACTGATAGAACAAGACTGCTTTCTCTCTAGCTGAGCCTCTTACCCCAGACTGTGCGGTCTCTGAGAAAAAAAAAGAGGTAAATAAAGAGGTAAAAAAAAGGTAGAAAAATAGAAAAGGATGTAATAAAATATTATATTGCACTGTGATTCAGAAAAATTTAACAAATATATCCATGCTGGTCACTACTATGGAACCTTCAGAACCAGAAAGTTAATTTGTGACTAGCCAAGCTAAAAGAACTCTAACCGTGAAAAAGGAGAAAACTTCTATTTTCAAGAAATCCATCTAGCACTGTAAAAAAAAAATCTGTGCCTAGACTACTGTTAGGGCATGTCAAAATGGATGAAGGATCCTGTTCACCCAGGCATACAGAGCCTGAGACTCTTCAGAGCCGTGATTCTTCCTGAGGCCAGGTAAATGGGTCTCTTCACACTGAAAATCGAGTATAACAGGAATATAGTTCATATATTGGCTTCAGTCCAACATGAACTAAGGATAGGACCAGAGTATAGATTGAAAGACAGCCAAAGGGGCTACTTCCATAAGGCAACAGAAAAATGGCTTGGTTTTCTGTCAGAATTTGGAGTGTGACTTCCATAACACTTGGCAAACGGAACTGAAATGTTTGAAATGTGGTTATTATAATATGACATGGAATATAGGAATATATCTGTACATGTAATGGCAGAAGAATAAAAGGACTGGAATCAGTCCCTGTTGGAAATGACTCTGCTCTTAGATATCAGAATTTACAGCTCTAACTGAGGAAGATGCTAATGTAACACAGCAATCATCTCCTGTCCCTACCTAAAAGTTTTTTCAGGATCAGCTGGTTTTCTTCCAACAATGCATCAAAGACATTTAGTGATTCTTCTGTGGTTCTGCTTGAGCGTTTGCCTTCCCAGCTGCCACAGGCATATTTGTAGAAATCCTTACAGGGGTCTACTGTGTCATTCCTAGAAATCAAGAGTCTGGCCAACAGTGCAAGACCCACCTCAGCATCACAGGATCCTGCTTAGGAAGAAAACAGAAGAGAACTGAGCAGCAACAATGGTGAGTGAGAACAACTCCAAACAAAAAAGTGAGGAGGAGGTCTCTGTGGGACATTTCTCTGAAAAGATTTATTTTGGTCCAAACTTCTTTGCATCTGGAGTGTTGAATTCCCTTTAAAGTTCTGCTGAACATGGAATAAATCATGTGCTATCTTTGGCTTCATTGGAGGACTGCTTTTGCACTTTTTAAGGGAGATTCTGAAAATAAAAGACAGATGATCAGGCCAGAGCTAGTGTCCTGTATTGGTACTATCTAGGTAGTCTACTTTGCTTTCTGAATGTATGTTCTCTGACTCAACACTCACTGGTTTGGCTAAGTATAAATAAGAAACTACTGATGGTGCCAACACATGAAACAAGAGAAGGACATAGCACAGAGAGGGTAAAGTAGATTTAAAGTTTAAAGTTTAAAACATGTACATAAAACATTCTGCAAATAAGTGTTTAGTGAATTTGACAGAGGACTGAATGTTTCTAGTCTTTCTTTGCAGCTCCCCAGTGAGCAGGAGACTGACTTTTCTCTCTATGACATGATGACACTAGTTGGTGCTAGAAAAGTAGGACTAGACTTATGAAATCAGGAATGGAAAAGTGGAGGAGTGTGAAACATCAGTCAGCCCCAATTTCCTGGCTCCTAGACAGAGCAAGATGCTACAATTGCACACAGTTGTAGGTCAGGAGCATGAGAATCAAAAATATAGAATCAATGTATATAGGCAACACACTGCTGCCTCAAAGGTGTGTCCAGGCATAATAAAAGGCAGATACAGGAGGAGAAGTGCAGGGGAGGAGGATCTTTAAGTAGGAAGCTACGATCCAGAAAGGAGACCAAAATCCTTGTTTACAATCAATAACTTTTAACATTTAATCGAGATTCTGAAAGTCTGATTCTCACACAGATGCTAAGCCAAATAAGCCCTGGAGAAAGATAGAATATGAAGGAGTCTTATAAATGAGGGGATGAAGAGGCAGGGAAAAGGATACCATGTATTATACCTAGACTGCAGCTCATCGTTATGTGGGTGATAAGCAACGTAAGGCCCAGGACAATGCTGAGAACTAGTGCACACAGAAGTAGGCTTTTTCCCCAGAGACATTGCTCCTTCTTTGCAACTGCTCTCAGCTCTAGGTCACAGGTCTGAAAAAACAAAATGAGACAAGCAGAGGAAAAAAAAGAGAGAGATAATGTTGTTAAAGTTAGTACTAGTCATATTAATTTTCATCTATTTTAAGAGTAAATAACTGATGAGACTAGTGCTAGAGCACTATAATATTCCAGATCGCTGAGGTGATTCTTTTCCCAGAAGTTTCCTGACTTCCTTAATTTCCCTTGCTTTTCCAGATACACCTTTTGCACGACATGAAAAATTAATGCATTTGAAAAACATTAAAATTTCTTATGTGAGGGTCAGTCTCCCCATAAGTCTATTCTGGGGTCACCTTGCATATACTTCCTCGAAGTATCAAAGCTTTTTTGTGCCTGGTGTCTACAGAAATGATTACTCTATTACGGTTTACTAGCCTGAGAATTCCTTCGAGATCTTTCTGCAAGATGTAACTCCTGCATCCTAAGCCTTGGAGTCCGGTTCACATGGGAGAAAAGACTTGTATAGTCTAAAAAGCACAGTAAGTTGCAAGTCACAGCTGATATCTTATATACAGACAGGTTTTATCTCACTTCAATTTATTTGTATTTAGTATTCTAGGTCTGCCTTTTTAGTCAGTGGAAGAGTACCCCTTCTATTTCAGACATCTGTCTTCAGATATGCTAAAGCATAATTCAGAAATATCAATCATTTTATCCATTGTGTACAAAGGAAACTATGGCTATGCTAGGCTACTCTCCTAAAAGTTTATTTAAGAGTACAATAAGATGAAATTTACTCTGTGTGTCGTCTGCTTCTACCTAATTTGATGTGCACATACCAGAAGAACAGTGTATCACAAGAAAATAGACACGTGAATGGAACCTGGTGGTGTAACAACAGTGAAATAACTAGATACACAGTAAAGAAAAAGGCAGGAGAAAGAAGAGAAAAGGAACAGAGAAGCCTCAAGGAAGAGGGATAGGGAAGAAAGAGTATAGCAAGGAAGGGGTAACTCTAGTAGGCATGTGAGCTGATAAAATATGCTAGTTTGAGGTGCTCTCAAGGACTCCCACAGGGTCACGACCTGGCATGCACTCCCTCCCTCCTAGGAGTTTAGCTTCCAGTGCTTAAAGGCAGGTCTCTGAAATACGAAAGTTCTGTGAGGAACCTTGGCTGTCTTTGGAACTCTCTGAGAGAAAAAAAAAAAAAAAAAAAAAAAAGAAGCCTCAGTGGAGGCACATTCTCCTTCGTTTGGGAGCTGCTTTTTGCACCTCTCATGCTCGATCTCCATCTGAGATATGCTGCAGCAACATTAAAACCATGCCTATGCCTGGCTATACCCCATTGATTTGGATCCTGATCTTAATCTCTACACTTGACTTTCAGCCTTGACCTTGGATCTTCCTCTTCACTATAGATTTTCCTGGTGATTTAGCTGATTGGCTATATCACCAGATCTGCTTTACTCCCCTAATTTCAGCATTGTGGGGTAACACCCCTTACAGATAAGGACATTGTTCCTTGCCTGCCTTGTCATGGACTCTCAGCTACCAGCTTATCTTTCTGTGCCAGTCCTTGCTGCTCCCTTTAACAAAGCAGTTAAAGATTATCTTAAGCTTCAATTGTCATCAGGCTCAGAATTTAACTTCTTTAACACAAAACCAGAATGCATGATCTGTACAAAAATAACAAGAAGAAAAGAAGCCACAGCCTACAAGAAGTGAAGCACCTCACAGTACATACCTATTCCCATGAGAAAAGGTTAGGAAAATGAATGAGTCTGCTGTTTAATAATCTTCCCTAGTGTACTATTGAAGGATGCTCAAATGCTGTGGTGGAGCTTCCTATATAAAAACTTCAACAGAATAGAAAACACAGAATGCAGTAAAGCAGAGCTTAGTATGTGATATCCTTCAAACACACACTTGTTACGATCATTAACAGAGGCATCTCAAAAGCAAATGGCAATATCTTGAGTCCTGCAACCTTTTAACAAGGGTTGAATGCCTAACGGCCTTTGTACCTTTAAAATCCTATTTTTGGCTACATAAAGCAGGATACAGAATAACTAAGTGGAAAGCATGTACATACAGGCAAACTCTGGTGTTAAAAGTTGCAAAATAAAAAACACAGTCATATTGGCACTGTACATACAATAAATATACGATGAGGAACATAAAGGAGAAAATTTGAATTCCTTTCATACGCCCTTGCAGTAACACTTTTAGTTTTTATCTTCCAAGTGGAAAGTAAGGCGGGGAAAAATGGGAAAGAAAATTTTCCCATCTGAAAAGGAGGAGGAACAATATCAAGCCTTCAACTCTCACCTATATCTTTTACTATGCTCTTGACTCCTCTGTCACAATAGACTTGCTTTTTTCAAGGTGAAAATCTGGTCTATCCCAACTATGAAGTATTTACAACTTCTCTAGTCTCATCCCTGTTAGATTCCTAGTCTGCTTTGAATCTTATTTTTGTGCCACAAATGAACTAACTGGTTTTCAGAACAAAAACAACAAAATACAGAGCCTTTCCAAAATCAGTGGATTAAAGGTGGCATGAATTTAACTAGATGGAACTGTAGATGGACTAAATAAATTCAGGGCACAGGAGGCAGAAATGTTGCACAGCTTGAACGACACAAAAGCAGTTTTCATGGCAAGCTTCATAGCTTAGGTCTGTTATCCAACATGCCCAACATAAAAAGACAAGCAAATGGTTTGAAGGAGGCTATGGAAGAAAATAAAGAGCCTATAATCTCTGACAAAGTTCCCACATATGGGCTTTGTTTATGAGTAAGTAAGTATTTGCACAAAGCTGAAAATTAATGTTATTTCCATTATGGCTTCATTTCTTCCATGCTTTTAAGTGTGTGCAAGTGCTCTATAGCTAAATTTGTGAGATCAAATGCCTGTAAAATCAATAAAAGTTTATTTCTAATTGTCCTCTTGATTGTAAAACGAACAACTGAATTTATGTTGCAACAGTCTACTCCATGAGACATCCAATTCAAATGAGAGCATGATTTAGGCTAGCAGAATCTGCACAGGATCCACACTGATAAAGCAAGAACTGTTTGATTGCAGATGAACCAGGCAAAAAATGTGACTTTCAGTCCACAGCTCTTGTTGTTTGTGAGCCAACCCTGAATTCTGCAGAGAGTTTTAAGTCCTTTGTCTTAATTCCCTCTCACCTTACATTTCATCAGTATTCTGTACTGTTGCAGAAAAGAAGCACTAAGCATCTAACTTTGAGGAAAAGCAAATGAAATAAAGATACCAAGGGCAGGGATATTTGGAGCTGTTATTCATAATTATTTTCGAGGCAATTTATGGGTATAATTTTTCAGACGGTAGATTATTCACAAATAACTTACTTCTGACTGTTGTCCAAATAATGTACATCACACTAGCCATGTGGATGATGTGTTTTCAGACTAATTTGTAAATAACTTAATCATTTTTCTTAAATCTAGCTTCTGTAAGCAAATCATATAAGTACATAAAATTAAGCATATTAAATTCCATTTGAGAAGTAATGTTTAAGCCTGTGTCAAAACTAGTATGCCTGGTAACATGGGAAACTAAACAGAATATTTGCTGAATTAGATCTGGACTACCAAAAATTAGAACCATAGCAAGAGTCAATAACTACTTAAAATTTTGACTGATGACACCTCTCACAGGAATATGAAAATACATATACAAATCAAACATGCAAATTCTGGAGACAGCAAAATGCAGTTGAGATAAATACGACAAATATGATAAATATGACCTTTTGCTATAAAACCACAGGTTTTGCATCTTTGCACAGCATACCATATAATTTTTATTTCTAATTTTAATTAGTTTCATAGCAAATATTCTTCATTCTATTGCATTTTAATATCTTGTACATTTTGGCGACCCCGAGATAACAACTCAGTGTGTGCTGCCTGTAAACATGCAGTTAACATTTATTGGCTCTATTTATATGAGACTTCAAATCAGATATCATACTACACGAAGTGCAATTAGCCATGCCATTTTCACATTCATAAAACTATACCACACTCACTCACAGTTATTTATGTGTGGGGGAAAAATGTTGCATAAAGAGTTTCTGAAAATAATTTGTTTGCTGAAAGATGAGAATATAGTCAACAAAGAAAATAATCAGACGGTTATTATTAGTTATTACAAGAAGTTAAAACATCTGGATGGCCTTTAAGATGACTAATCCGGAGGCAAGAAGTCCCAGATCCTTATGCCACACCCAACATCATTAATTCTGAGATCTGGGCAAGACTTTTCTGAGTATCAATTCTCAAAAAATAGTTTGCTCCAATTCCCTAGAGCGGTAAGTAGCATAGCTCTGAGAGTAGGAGTGGGTGCAACAAAGGTGACTCATAAGACTGGGAGACAAAACCACTGCCTACCTCTGCCATCATTCTTTGAGCAGACTTTGCTTCCGTGGTTACTGCAGCTTTCACCTCTGCTTATTTGTTTACCATGTCTTCTGTGCCCAAGACATGGTGCTGAGATCACAGGCAATCTCTCTTTTCCAGCTTTGCTGATCCTGTGGGGACGAGAAAAGAGAGAAAAGTTTAAGTGAAGAACGCCCTTAAAGAAAACAGGAGGGAGGGAAAGAAATGGACACATTTCTGCCACTCTCCACCCACTTTCTCCCTCTAACACCTCTCACTCTCAGAAAATTGGCTTTATGCCTCTTCTTGTTTCCTTGGGACTCCTGGGTCCTTCTGTCTCCTGAAGCTACAGGAAAAAAAAAAATTGAACATAAGTATGTGATTCTTTATCTCCCCCAGCTTTTCTTCTCAACTATTTCCTACTTCTTTTCGCTCTAACAGTCCAAGTGCCCTCCCCACCCAACGAGCCTGTTTTACTCTGATATTCCTGTTAGCTAGTAGCCTGTTTCAACCTGCTGCTTCTCCGGGGCCTGGAGGCCTCTGTCTATTGCAAGATAATGTGGGGTTTGGATCTTAATTTTCCTCCTCCCCCAGAAGAAAGTCCTGACTTTCATTTTGCTCTCTCCAATGCACCCCAAAACACATTTGAGACGGAAACAAATCCACTTCTGCTTTTTTTTTTTTTTTTTTTTTTTTTTTTTTTGGGAAAGAAAAACCTTAAAAAAAAAAACCACCTTTTTAAATTTTTTTTTTTTTTTTTTTTTTTGGCAATGAGAAACCTTAAAAAAAATAGTCACCTTATTTGCAGTTATTTTGACTGTTTGCAGCCTGTATATCACGGTTTCTTTAAGGATGAATACAGGTAAGATCTAGGAGGGAAATTTCTCTACATTAAGGACTGAAAAGAAGGATTAGTTCCCAGGGACCTTAGAAAACTGAGTGGTGGAAGTTTTGTTTCCACCACCTGTTTCCGTGGCTGCTGAGAGTTTTGGGGAACCAGTCTGGAGTCACCTTACCTCTCCACCTGGCTAGGTTCTCAGGACAATATGATGTCTTGGTTCACTAGTTTGAAGATTAATAGATGGCTTCCCTAATTTCTGATCTGTTTTATGAAATCCAAATCTTTCTAGTTCCATCAATCAAGATTTCTTCCTTATCCCAGGAGTGCTTTTCTAACATCTTACTTTGATTATAGAGTGATAAAAGAGTTATTTTATGGTTGAAGCCAGTTACTTATTCCCAGTTCTTTTTACCTCCTAGGTTACTGGTAGCTTTATACTTCTACATTTACTAAACAACGCTAGTGTGAAAAAGGTTCTTGCTGACCCAATACTTTACTTGCAATAGCCCAGCTCCCTTTAGCTTACTTTGCAAATACTCTTTGGGTAAATGGGTGAGATTGGGCTTAGTGTATGTAACAAAATACAACTCCTGTTTCACTGATAGGGGCACTGCTGTTTTCCAAACTGTCCAACAGATGCAGGGGTGTTTTGCTCATTGTGGCAATTTATCAGTAATTTATAAGCTGGTCCAGTCCCATATCTTTATGCAAGCTAAGATCTTGAATGAGGAACTGGGATTATGCAACAAATTGTAATCCTGTAATCCCTGTAATCCTTGCTTTAACATATCTTTCAAAATTTTATGTTACATGTATTAAGAAACATTTGTTTTATGTATTTCTTCCACTTTTCCCTTTTAGAGATTTCTATTCTTTCCTGTTTTACAGCTTTCCTTATAATAGCTACAACTCTAACTCACTTTCAAAAATGTTTTTCATTAGCTGCATTAGTATGGACCCAGAACCAGTATGAAAATGTGTGTTGACAGCTGACCACATTTAACTGTAAGTGATTTTACAGTGGAGGTATCTTTGTGAACTGACATGACAAATTTGTTCATGGCAATATGCTGTTTATACAGGTGTCTTACCTATGTGTTTGAACTTATCCACTTGCATAATTATGATGTTAAATAGCTCACAAACTGTAGGTAATGAATTATCTTTACCTTTCTTCCCTAGTGAACAGTATCTAGGCTTTGATACAATGGCTATGATCATTCTGAACACAATATAATTTAAACTAAGAGTAATTAAATCTTGGCCAAGCAATTAGGGCCAGTTCTGATCTGCAGGAAATAATCCAGCCTATAAGCTTCTGTAGTAGTTTATAACCATCTTTTAAAGGAAAGTTCACCTCTTTTTTTGAGGTTTGTCTACTTCTTTCTTTAACAAAAGTAAGATGACTACCCAGGTTAAAGGAAAAAAACTAGCATAGTCAAAAGTTATATTAAGCGTTCAGCAGTGGCAAAAATCACCCTTAGATGTTCTCTGTTTTGAAATGAAATTTGAGAAGACTCAAAAGCTTTCGAACAATATACCACTGGGATGTCATTGGAGTTAATACAGTTTCATAAGCCCATATCTTTTTAAACAGATTCTCTGCTTCCTCAAGGTTGAATGTAACTTTACCACTTAAATTGACACAAAAAGACTAAATTATTAAGTTAGTTATTATTTATATTAATTTAATTTTCATTAATAATACTATTATAATAATATATTATCATGATATAATAACATATCATGTTATAAAACCGTATTATTAATATAGTATTATTATTAATATGCAATTATTTGTATTAATTTAATTATTAGAATTAAAAATTGTTATTGTCACAGCATATGGATCCTCCTCCATATACTACCTAGAAATACTTTGAATGTATGTAGATGAGTGTGTTTTTCCAGACCTTGTAAATTAAGTAAGATAGCTCTTTCAGCTAGTGATGCTACTTTCTCAGTAAACTACACTACTCTAAATTGGTAGGGAGAAAGCTATTTTGCAAGGATTGGTGTAAATGATGTGGAAGGTGATGTTTCTTCTCCTAAGCCATCACAGGCCATAATATTGAATACTGGAGCTAGTGGACACTCTTAGTTTCTACTGGAGAGTGTGCTCATAAATAGTATTCTATTGCAAAATGGTTTGTTGAATAATTCAGAAGTGGCACTGTTACAGAGACAAACAGGACATTAAATCAGTTATTCCAAAATTCAAGTCTCTCTCTAACATAATATCTACATATTAATTGCACATAGATATGATCTTTATGCCCTTGCTATGAGACATCCAGATATAATCCATATTTTATCTAAAACCAGCATGTCCCATACTTCATAAAAAATCTGTTTGACTGGGTTTATTATTTGAAGCTCAGTAATTTGCACACTACTGCTCTGTGCCTTTCCAAGCAGAGCCTACTTGCATTTATTTAATTTGGAGTAAGAAGAGAGTACATTTGCATCTGGTAGCACTAAACCATGTAAACATACCTTTCAATTTCCATACAACAAATTGGGTATGAAAGTCTTCTTCAGTTTAGACATCACAGGACAGTGCAATGGTGCAATGTCTGTGTTTGTATTTAAGCCGTGAAAAAGGTTTAGCTCAAAGGAGATTGTGTATTGACAATATGCAGCCTGACGTTGGTATTGAATATACAGCTTATAAAGCTTTGAAGGCACCTTTGTTAACTACTGAAAGTGAAGACAAGGAAAAAAAAAAAAAAAAAAAAAAAAAGATACCTTCTGTAACTACTGAGGTAGGAACAGGAGGTGATGTGAGGGCAAGACGTCACAAGTAGTCCTTATCAGCTAATTCCCTTGTTATCTCTAAGGCACAGATGACAGCTCTGCCCTCTTACATCCAAAAGTTAGTGAGAAGATCTCTGGCTTTCTTTTTCTCTGTGAAAGAATCTCTGACTTCTTCCTTTTCTGTATACAAAACATTAGCTCTTTTAAGCTCCTCTAGGTCACTCTGCATGTGCAGGGGGTTGGACTAGATCATCTCTAAAGGTCCCTTCCAACCTTAAGGATTCCATGATTCTATGATTCTAAAGTCTAACACTGATCAGCACATTGGAAAGTATACAGTGTTGGACATGCCTTCCAGCTGTCATACATAAAAATATCTAATGTGAGTTATATTTTAGATAGTCTTTTTAGAATCAGATAGAGGTATGGTTAATAAAAATGTGTAATTATTAAGAATTTCATTGACGTGTTTGGGAGATGGTGCAAACATTGTCTCTGCATCCAAGATGATTATGAATCCAGGCAGATTTCGAAAAAATATTCCCTTAATAACTGTCCTGAAGTGACATTGAATTTGAACTTTGATCTTCTAAGTTATGTGAACCCTTCCAAAAATATGGCACAAAAGAAGGCATCTTTATAAAAAGTCATCTTTAAATCTTAAAAAAAATAGTCATCTTTACAAATAAATGAAAAGCAGTATATGGACAAGCATTATAAAAATACGATGTAGCAATATAAATTTGATTGGCATCTTGAAAAGATTATCATTAAAAAAAGATGATTGTACCAGTGACCAGTGTGGATTAAAGCAACATGAAGAAAATGCCTATTCACATAAAAGACTGTCTGCCATAGGATAATAAAGGTTATGATGGTTACCATTGTAACCATCAAAAGCAAAAATTTGTTTTGAATACATCAGAACTCTGTAGCACTGCAACTGATAGCTAGAAAACTCCAGAAAGATGAAAGCAGGATAAACTGAGAGCCATAATGTTTTCCACTTTGGATGAGAGGACTGATGGATGGATGGAGAGATTCATCTTAGGCCAAAATTGGAGTTGCCTGTCCAGGGTGACAAAGAGAGATACCTTAAGAGGCAAAGATGTTCTTGGAGATTTTGAGTTACATATCCATATGTATGGGAGCTTCCCTTCCCTTCCCTTCCCTTCCCTCCCCTTCCCTTCCCTTCCCTTCCCTTCCCTTCCCTTCCCTTCCCTTCCCTCTTTTCTATTCATCTCAGAGCACTTGCTCTCTTATCTACCACCAGTAGACCAGATGCATCTTTATGTTTAACAGGAAGAAGGGCGGAAAAGCCATTGACAATTACAGCCATCGCAAGGAATAGAGAGGCTCTAGCTTCAGGGAGTCAAAATGAGGGGTAGGCAATTCCTACACGATAGTAGGTCTGAAAGGGATTGTAACATGGCGACCTGAGTGATGGAAGAAGGTAAGAGTTAATATCCTAGTATCTGTTCAAGCCTCAAAAAATATTAACTTCAGATACTATAAACTGTAGAGGTCTGTGGCAGAGGTTTTACACCTCAGTCAATGGGCCAGCTGCCCTCCTTTGATAGCATTCAGAATGCTCTGTTTTCACTTACTTGGCTAATGGATAGCTTTCCCTCTTCTTGTTCCTCTTAAAAACTCAACAAGCCTATGTTTTTATGATTAGCCTTCAGTCTCATCACCTAACATGTAAGAATTCAGCAATGTATTGCTGAATATGAATATTGAATATACTGAATGTTCAATTCTATAATGTATTTTCTATACTCCTCATCAGAGAATTGCTCAGCTAAAATAGCATAATAATTTTCAATTGTTCAAATAATTCCATAAAGCTTTAACCACAGTAATTTGATTTACAATTTTAATACTCTGGATTTTCTGTGGCTGCAGAAATACGGCTCCACACATATGTGAACTGTATAGATAGTCTCTTACCTAGAGTACACTTTATCTTGACTGAGGTGACTTTTCAAGGTAGAGAGACTCCTATTCTTCTTGGTAATGTTCCTGTCAAATCATTTTCTGAAGTTAAGATGCCTCTCTTGTTGTGAGCACCTAAATCTTTCTCTTCCACTTTACAACAGCTGGCACATCTATGCGAGAGGTGGGACAAAGGGCCAGATTCTCTTCCAGCCAGAGGGAATTACTTGGCCACCAAAACATTAAGTCATTCTTCTTTTTAAAAGAGAGTTCAAACTGTAGTCTCAAAGAGAATGAGGACAGAACCCGGGAAAGTCTACTGTTGTGTTAAAGCAATGTTCTGAACGAAGACTAACAGAATTAATATACAAATGAAAGGTCAGGAAGTAAAGAAGCCTGTGCTACAGAGAGGGATCTGAGAAATTGTCAAAAGAAGGCTGGAGAACTGTGAGTGTATAAAAACAGGAACTAAAAAGTGTGCCATCAGTAAAGAAATAACACAGTAGTTTGGCTCCACATTATGACACTGATTAACAAGAACAAAATGTAGGTTGGCTTCATCAATTATTTGATAGGAATGATCCCTGCCTTTCTCAGAAGCTGGTTTTGGCATATTTACTGTACTGTGTTCTTTTACTAAGAAAAATGGAACATACAGTAGTGAGTCTCTAAACATCTTTCTTTAAACCTAGTGCTCCCAGTGAGAATATCTGTCAAACAGATGCACAAGTGAGGGAAGTTAGAATGAGAAAACACACATACATTTTAAAGTCCTCTCCATTTTCTATACATAAAATCAGAGTGATCTGTGGAAACTGTAGTACGAGGCAATCTTAAAAAAAAGCATCTAAGCCCTTTAAATGCAAATCCTTTCTCTGAACTGAAAATGACAGTAATTGAATATTTATCCAATTTGCATACTTAGAGAATGCAGCTGGCCAATTAATTATCAAACAAATGTAAAATAATAAATTATTTATTATGAAACTTCTTTTCCTGAGATAAATAGGTGAGCATGCACTAATGGCATGTACTTGGGATTGGCATTATCCTGCATATCTAGAGCTTTCAGGAGCCCAGGGAAAGCTGAGTGAAATTTGTGAGTTCTTGAGAGTTGCAATGTCCAATTTATTTTCTCTTATTTTTATCATAACTGCTCTGATTGGATCTGTGGCAGGACTTCTAGGAAATGCAGCTATCTTGGCTGTCAGTTCAGCTAGCTGGGTGAGGAACATTATCTCCTATGACATGTTGATGATCTTTCTGAGTTTATCAAGAATCTGTTTGCAGTACTGGATTATGCAGGATTTGTTTGTAGGTTTGGTCTTCCCATCTTTCTACTATGTTGACAATTTATTTGTAACTTACAAGACAGTTTTTATGTTCCTGAACTATGCCAGCCTCTGGTTTGCTGCCTGGCTTAGTGTCTTCTATTGTACGAAGGTTGCCACTTCTACACAATCTTTCTTCATCTGGCTGAAGCAAAGAATTTCCAATCTTGTGCCCTGGATGCTGATAACATCATCTCTTTTTTCCTTTGCAACCAGTTTTCCTTTCTTCTGGAACATCTACAGCGTGCATGACAACTTTACTGCTCCTTTAACTGTGACAAACTCTTCAGAAAGGACAGCCACAATGAGAACTAGTTTTTTTGTATTGATTCTTCTCTGTAACGCTGGTATAGCCTTGCCCTTGATATTGTTTGTTGTTTCAAGTATCTTGCTCATTAGGTCTCTGTGGAGACATATGAGAAAGATGCAAAATAATACAACTGGCTTCAGGGATCCTTGCTCAGAAGCCCACATGGGTGCCATAAAGTCAGTCCTCTCCTTCCTCATTCTGTATGTTACATATTTTATTGCTTTGGTGCTTATTTTATCTGACATGTTCTTACCTTTCAGCACTGGGGAAGCATTATGTACAGCTGTAATGGCTGCTTGTCCTTCAGGACACTCTATGATCTTAATCTGGAGCAACCCCAAATATCAAGAGCTGCCAGCTAGGATTTTTAACCACACAAACTGTCAAAGGAGACCTAGATCCATATAAAAGTCCATTGGTTAGCCTGGGCTTTCTCATTTAGATCTGTATGAATTAAATCAAAGAAGTCACTGGAAGCATAAAGTATTAGGAGCATGAATGAGTAGATTATAGCCCTGATTTGGAATCACAAAGATGCTAAGAATACAGGATATTGCTTTATCTTAATATGATCTTTGAAATGATGATTTCTGTGAGTTTTCTCCAGTTTTAAAAGACGATTGTATGTACAGGGACATAATTATGGATGCTAAAACCAAAGGATTCAGAAATTTGTTTATGATTCTGTATAATTTCCGAGGATTTGAATTTATTTGTTGATTCTGGAAACATCTTTAAGGTTCCGATGTGATTCAGTAAAGATAACTAAGTTGTATTTTGTAATTTTGGGGGCTACAAGAATTCACAGCTTTAGAAATATATTAGACTGTCCTGGACAAATCACACATTTCAACAGAGTCCAAAACTCAGCATATTCTTGTTATGTTAGTACTGGGATTTTATTATCCTTTTCAGTTGTAATGTAAGTTTATATCCTGTTAAGGCTATTTTCACCGAAGACTTTTCATACATGGTCTTCTGGTATGTTCAGAAGTCTGCTTGAGCCCTGTATTGACTATTGGACTTAGTCCTTTGTAATTTTTAATAACTGGTTTTGATGTTGCCACAATCAATCTATTTGACCCAATTTGTGTGCATTTAAGCTGAGTTTAGGCTGGAATGTGATTTTTTTTTTTTAAGTACCAGAGTAAAGAATTTTATATACAGGAGTTTTACTTCCCCTTATGATATCAACTGTTGGATAGGTGCCAGAAGTGGACTAGAAGCATTTAATGGAGCCTGTGAAAATCCAGGATATGGCAATGACACCATTTTAAAGAAAGCATCTGTGACAAGCTGTGGTTCCTGACTTACCACTGTCAAACACAGGCGTTGGGAGATTTATTCCATCCTCTGTCAGCTACCTGGT